AAAGTAAACTAAGGAAACCCAGTTTGCTTTTCCTAGGTGTTTGAATCCTTAACCCTTATCTAAAATGGCTTATAGATAACTGTGGTTCAGTATTTATTTATTTCAACTAACATTTATTGAATTCCTACTGTGTGGCATACACTATGTTATGCAACAGGGCTACAAAAATGAATAAAACACGGCCCTAGTCTTCCAGGAGCATATGATCTTTTCTGTCCTTACTTATCTCTTATTTATTTGACCTGTTCACTTGCTTTTGACTCTGTTATATAGGCATTAATTGCCACTGAGTTTAAATTTCAAGTGTGTCAAGTCATCTTTTGGGGACCTATAGCAGAATTAACACATGATTCATGATTGTGTTCTGAAGACAGATAAAATCCAACTCTTGTGATCTATTACGCTAGTAATTTAAACTTTTTCTATTTTGTAATCTCTATTACAGGACCTATCCCAGGGTCTATAAGATCTTAGAGCTGTTGTGTAAACTGCACAGATGAAACCTTAGCATAAAGAAAACAGATATTTTAAACATTTAATAAGAGAAAAAAAATCTCATAAAATCAGATTTTAATTGCTTTGTTAAAGTCCAGGGTATCCATGAATTTGTCATCTTAATATCATAAGTTTCATTAGTAGAAAATAAGTCAGATCACTTAAAGAAATCAAACATGACTTTAATTATCCACTAAGCATTAAATTAAACTCTTTGATAGTCATAATTCCATTTCATATTCTTTTAAAGGCTGGATGTTAGCATCCCTTAATTGGAGATCTGTTGGCTAGCATTTAGCATGTACCTCCACCATTATCAAACACACAAAAATGTGTTTTGTAGCACAAACAAATGGACAACTAAATCCTCTTCTCAGGTTGAGACCCCCCTCACTGCCTCTAAAGAAATATCATCGCGATCAGATCACTAGGTACCTCAGAGTAAAAATCATCCATTGTCCTTCTCTTGTCATAAGTACCTAACAAGTTTCATGGAGCCAGAACCTCAGGCTCCATGCAAGGTTAGGTTTCCCTCCAGTGCTAGTTCCTTACATAATCCACTAGTAGTTTAGTTGGATTAATGAACTCTTAAAATACAATGTCAATGCTCAGATCACTCATACAAGAAGCTAAGTCTTGAGATTTTCTTTTTAAACCTGACATAGAATAGTGCTGAAGGGTATCCAGTGTGCTCAAACTAGAATTTCCAAAATAGAGTTCTAATAATGGTTAGGTGCCTTTACCGTCTGCTTAATTCTACTTCTGAGTTTGAGTTTAGTAATTTTCTAAATGTACAGTCCATTTCATAATTTGTATTTTAAATAAGTGTATAGTAAAGCTTTTCAACCTTATAACCAAATTCATAATTCAGAAAGTTTTAAACTTGTCTAAAAAGAAGTCTGGTCAGCATACCCTCGATTTATCACTTTTAAGATAGAGTCCTATTGGGTAGTTCTTGCTTGGTCTTCAGTCCCTTAGGCCACAAAGAGTAGTTCCAGATCATTTTTGGTGGTTAGGCTGACCACCATGACCACATTTTCCACTCAGAGCACTTACTAGGTGCCCTTGCATACGTGTCTGTTCATTCTTTTATACTGTTGCTCATAACACAAAATGCATTCTTTCTTGGAGATATTAGCATCCAAAAGGAATTGTTGAGCCTGTGATTTAAAGAGTATCCCTGAAAGCTTCATTTCTCTGTTCCAAAAGTAAGTTTTTAAAACTGTACTGGATGCTGTGGAAGAAAAAAGAATATTTGTTTTATCCAGTCTCTAAGACATTATTAGAAATTAAATTGTAAAAAAGTGAACTCAAGTTTAATTTAAGCAGATAAAGAATTTCCCCTCATTTGTTTTCTATGTTTAGTATTTGGCTGGTCTGTATTTTTTTATTTGTTTGTTTTCATCTTTAAAAATACTTCTACGACTCTTAAATACCTGTCATAAGTACTTTGAGCATTGTGTATTTAGAATAATTATGAAAAATGGAACACAGGGTCCTTGTCTTGTTTTCAAAGGTGGTAGAATTGGCTTTTTGTAGCTCTAGTGTTGATTCCCAGGCTAGCTTTATACTTCTAAAGAATCAGAAGTTAAAGGAATGTAGTTGAGTCAGTAGTCATGAATATCCAGGCCTGGAAAGAGCATTCAAGCTTCATGTGGTATGAATGTATACATTCCTTTTCACAGTTAACTGTATATACAAAGAATGTTGAAATAGTCTTAGGCCCCTGTTTTTGCTGTTTTTATTTATGCATTGTCCCCTCCTCCAATATGGCATGATACAGAAAGGACAGAGTATCATTTGCATTTCTGGAAATGAACTCTGCAGATGTTTAAGCAGCTATGATATAGGTGTGCACTCGTGTGTTACATGTGTCCAGATCAGCATAATCAACTACTTTCTAAATGCCTAGCAGTGCACATAAAAACCGTACAAATGGCATCACCATTATTGGTGGTGGTGGTTAGCTCTGGAATAAAAATCTACTTCGAAGTGTGATCCCTCTTTGGGATTAAGGCCTCTGGTGTTTTTTTTGTTTTGTTTTGTTTTGAAGTTATTGATTCATCTGAGACAGCCAGAGAAGGTTCTCTAGAATTTTATGAAGACTATTTCCAACAATTATCTTATTATAACGACCCATGGAACACTTTTACTTAAATTGTGGTTTTTGTTTGTACGCTTATCCTACAATATAGTTGATTTATATTGTTAAGCAAAACCAAACAGAATCCTAGTCCCTGTACTTGCATAAGCATGATTTCTGACCTCAGTTCAAATTCTGTAATCACTGACAAGCTCACAGACCTCTGCCATAAACGGGTTAAATCCTTTCACTAAATATGTTTCTGTGGGGCCACGGCTATGTCGCCTGTACTGCCTTTTTTTTTTTTTTAACTTTCTAGTTCACTAATCAAATGTATGTTAGATTGATTATTGTAAAAGTATAAACCATAGAAAATTTGACAAGATAGATGTGTAAATTATCCTTCTGACAGAACTAATGATGCACTCCAAGCACCTTCTGTTTTCTAGCGCTTGGTGAGCGACTTCATTAAATATGCAATGGCTGTTGGGTGGCTTCTCAAATGATGGTTCAGTTCCTTGTGGAATTGCATTATTACTAGAGGTGTAAAACCAGGCAGACAAGCTAGCTGTTGGGCATCCTGCTGAGGTTCTAATGTGCTCCATCTTGTTGGAGCAGTTGTTTGCAGTCTTTTCAGGACAATTAGATCCATAACCACAGGACACATTCAGTGAAGCTATATTACAGATAACAGTGGAGTCTGGCACTGACCGCTCTCCTGAGCTGCCTCAGTGTGGGGAGCTTATACTAATGCTACTTCCACCACTCACAGGGTAGTTGCTTTTTTTTTTTTTTTAATCCCTTGAAGCAAATCTAGAAATAACAGATTTGTAACTTCTTTAAAGTTCTTAACATCATAGGCTATTAGAGGTGAAAAGAGTTTATACATGTTAATCCCTGTGCAGATGAGAAAACAGGCTGCAGCATTGTGGCGAGTTGTCCCTTAGGGAGATAGGAGGAGAACTTGGTAGAACATCTTTTAGGTGGTAGAGAGTACACGGATAGGAATTTGTACTGTTCGGCTTCTCGTTTTAGAGCTCTTATTTACACAGAATTTTTCTTTTCTGAATTTAAGATTTTTTTCTGCTGTACCTCATTTTTTCTCATTTTAAGACTAACAGTGCTTGTTTTTTTACTTCTAGAAGCTAAACGGAAAGATTTTGCTTTCTCAGGATAACATGCTATTTGATATTTTAATGACAATTTGATGGTTTCCTGGAGAACTGGACACAAAAGATGTTGAATTGAGCTTGAAATGGTATTTAAGGTTTCCAAAAGGCAGATGCTGTGGTGTATCACTGCAGCCTGATAAATGGAAGTGCGTGTTAGAATGACAGGCTGAGCACTTCAATGAAAGAAGGTTTCCCATTTCTGTTGGGCAATTAAATCACTGTTGATGACTTTGGATCATTAATGAACATTTGTGGAAAATGACCATTTGAATTCAATTATTACACTAATATGTTTGAAAAGCTCTAACCACAGATAATCTTGTTTGTAAATTAAAAGATTTATCCATTTCACTATAGATAAGTCAGCATATTGCTTTGCTTTTTAATGCCAAAGCTGACATTTTAGAAATCTTTTACAGATTAACTACATATCCTTTCTATAAGAAAGGATATGTTTTTCATTAAGTGCCTTTTAAAATATAATTTATGCTGCTAACCATTACATTACTTCATTATTCTCAGAAAAAATTAGCAAGACCTAGAACAAAGAAGAGGAACATTATACAGTGTATAACGGCAGGAGATTAAGTTTAAGATGGATTAGGTATTTGATTTATTTAGTGCCTAAAAGAATCTCTAATTCTGGAAAAACAATAGGAAGAAAGCAACCATTATTTGAAAACATGCAAATTTACTTAAAAGTAATATGAAAAGAAAATGCAAATGGAAAACTTCATAACCAGAATTTTTTCTTAAACCCAAGGTTCAGATTTTCTTAAACTTTTTAAGCTTTTGTTCGCTTTAAAATTTTTTATGGATATGTGTCTCACTTTTGCTATAGTATACCCAGCAAATTCACCTGGATAGGATGCTTTTCTTGAGTTAACTTATTTTCTCTGAAACTGGGGCTGTTTTGGTAGTTAAGACAGGACATGGGTTCTTTTGAAATGCATGTTTTTCTCATTTTGTTATTTGTAAAATGGGCCATCATCTCAGTCCAAGCTTTCTTCATCTCCATTTCATAGTTTACAGAAAAAGGAGACGCTGTGGAGCACAGGCTTCCCGTGGGAATACATTGGGCTTAATGAGCTTGATAGTCTGGTGGGCTCAATAAATCAAATAAAGCAAAACATTTCTCATTTTTGAATAAAAGCATTTATCACACAGTGTTTGTTCATTCGTGGTCACAAGATTGATTGGTTCCCAGCATCAGAGTGTATATTGAAGCATTTTTGATTTTGTTTTTCCAGTGGGCAAGTTACGGAAGCAATGGCTAAAGGAAAGTATCTCTGATGTCGGCTTCGGGATGCTGAAGTCTGTCAAGGAATACGTGGACCCCAATAACATCTTTGGAAACAGAAACCTTTTATAAATACATTACTTTGTTACAAAAAAATGTTACTTTTTTTTTTTTAAAGTCTTCAACTATGGTTATACCAGTAATCACATATATATCATGGACTGTATTTTGGCTATATTGTTTCATTCTGTAGTTTGTTTTGTTACTACATTTACCGATTGACAGATGGTATTCCTAAATCTCTCTCATTGTAGGTGCATCAGTTTTCAGCCAACTGGTTGTCATTTCAAATTTTCGTCAGGCAGCGCAGGCTGCCAGTTGTTTCAGAGAAGGATGCTGCCAGCTGTTTTGTATTGATGCTTCCTCTTGGGAACAAAAGCAGATTTTGGTGTCATCTATTGCTTATCTAGTCTCTTTTCTAAAGAACATTTCTGGGAAGCAGATATCTAGGGAAGGATTCCACTGGGGAGTGATACACACGCGTGGCTTTTTAAGAGTGCACTCTTGTGTGAGTAGGCATTGAGGGAGGCTACTCATGAAGCAATGGAGGCAACCTGTTATTTAGGATGCTTTTAGTTCTGTAAGGTACTTGGCCTACCTTTGCTTTTAAAATTAGCATAAAGTTATGTAACTTTAAATCATCAATATACAAATTATCTGTTACGGGACACTATTTTGTTCTCCATGTTTCTGTTTCTACTGAAATGTGAGTTGTATTTGTATCACTGAGGTAACCTATTGTTATATCGTAGTTCATTCATAATACGTTTCATAAGAAAAGCTGACTTATCACTCATTGTATGTGAAGAACAGGTTTACCATGAAATGAAAGCCTTTATTCAAGCACAGAATCTTAATGTTTCTGATTTCACATTCTTGTTGCTGAGATGCCGAAGAAGCTGCAACAGGAGAGAAGAAGGAAGACTCCTTACACTTAATGTCTTCAGTTCCAAGACTTGTTTGGCTAAAGAAACACAGTCATCAATCAGCTGTTGAATTTGAAGGCCTCAATAATAAAAATCTTTTTTTAAAAATTAACCCAAAATTAAAAATTTTCATATAAAAGTAAAGTTTCAATTAGTTTTTAATAATGGTTTAATGCCTTTTTTTGAATTACTGGTTTAACGTAAACTTTTTAAAAAACTGATGTCTTACTGCACACAGCATTATCTAAAGTGTGAAATATCATATTTCTTAATAGGGAGAACATTAATCACATTTAGCAAACATTTTTACATTCAAACCTGGATATTAAAATAAGTGAAATGATTACTTTGAATCACTGTCTGTCAAGATTCACATTTTGAGATGGATTCTTTTCTTAATGCAATACCTAACTTTTGATAATTTTTTAAAATTAATATTTGATCAGATAATGTAAGTCAAAATGCAGATGTTCCTGTAAAAGGACACACTGTCTGTCTCTGTAGCAACAGCCCCAGAGTATTTGGGGCAGTTTGATATGTTTTATATCTGAAGTAGCCTTAACCAAAAAAGTAAAAATTTAAAATTGACAAAATGCTATTTTTAAGACTTCAAAATGATAATTTCTAATGAATAAAATTGGCCTCAAACTAATAAACTTAAATCTGTAAGCAAATCAAAATTAAATAGTTTAACAATAAAATTAAATATTGATTATTAGAAGCTGCCTCTTCATTGGTGATTTATTTTTAATTGTAAAATTTCCAGCAGATCTTTGCTTAAAGCCCTTGCTAGTTGAAATAGTTGGATACTTGATGAGGAAATTACACTTGCCTCTAGAATTATAAAAATCTCAGCTTTATAAAATGCATCTATTCATGGAGGTAATTTCTCTAGTTGGTGATCAAAATGTAACATTTAACGTACTAATATCTCACTGGAGTTGATACATGTTTTGGGGTAATTTTTTTAAAAATAAAACTTAAAGATTCATAAGCAAATCCATTCCATTCCTTTGCATGTGGTGGTTATAACATTCTTTCCCAGGGAGTTCAGACTTCAACCTCTGAAAGCTGTATTTGATATGAGGAAACTGTAAATGTCACACCCGAAAATTGCTGTGTTCACTGTTCTACGTGAACCCTGTGGACATTAGTGATAGATGTCTTTTTTTCCTTCTCTCGTGTATTCAGGACTCCCTAACCTTGCTTTTATAGTGATGACTACATTTCGTAGTTGGAATCATTTCTACAGGGATCCTTTGGAACCCATGAACACTCATCAGTGCTGTTTCACTCTGATGTAGTAAATCAGAAAGCCTTTCCCCCGCTGCCACACGCCTGCGTCTGAGAGGTACCTCGGCATACTCTTTAGTGTCTGTGGAGAGCTGAGTTCTGGAATATGCACAGCAGTACTTAAACCTTGCCTCATAGTTCTGAAATATCTGAAAATGGCCTCATGAAGCTAAAGCCTGGAGAGCATTGTTTATGTGAGGCTTAACTCCTTTTGAATAAGTTTATTTAAAATTTTGAAAGATTGTAGCCTATTTGGTTTTCAGTACTGCAGTAACACTGACTTCTCTTGCTTCAATTAGTCGTATTTCTAATATTTGATGATGTCACATTCGGGTTGGGGTTTTAGTCAGAATGGGAACTTACTGCTAGTGAGAAACGGCATTGAATATTAAAAACTCAGTATGAACAGGCTTTATGGACCCTTAGAGTAACTGTTGCCTTAATGTTTGGTGCAATTTACAGTATATAAGTGAGTTTAGTCTTATGCTGAGTAACTTGAGCTTTTTTAGGTTAGTAAGAATTGTAAAAGCCACATGCTTATTGTGCCCAGCATTTTACCACAAAGAAAGAGGATAAAATTCTTTCCTCTTCTGAGGAATTGAGCATTCTCTTCCTAAACGCTTACATATTATAGTACTGTTACTTAAACATTATTTGTGAAGCTGGAAGCCTTCGGGTGTGCATAACTGCGTGGATGTATTTTGGAAAACAAAAGTGCAGTAAAGGATGAGCTTCCATCAGTGTGTAGACTACACCAGATACAGATGGTGGCAAGGAAACCTCTTTTTTTAGAGATTCTCTTAGTAACTGCTAAGTTCCAGTTTGCATTTTTAAACATGTCTTTCTGCATGTTGGCTCCAGAGATTTTTCTTTGTTATATTCTTTTATAACTACAGCTCCTTAACCATAGCTGATCAGAGAAGCCCTATAGTCCCAAACTAAAGCGTGTAACCTCGGGTGTTCAAATGGGGCTGGGCTTGCTGAGCATCTATTCTATATAATGTAGAACACAAACAGTTATTTATTTTGGACTGGTTCACAAACTGTATATGCTGGTGCTTGAGGCAGCCAAAGCGAAATGCTGTGGAAAGAATATCTACATTTTAGGAAACACCAGGACAGGAGTTAAGGATAACTTTAATAACTTTTTGTTTACCACTTACTAGCAACTTTGATTTTAATTAGGGCTTAGCCTATGATGGGCGAAAAGCCGAAGATAACAAGTGCCAGTGTAGGATTGAAAATCTAGAATTGCTTTTGGCTTTGTAAGTTATGAAAGCTTGGCTTTGCTCAAGGTTTCCTGTTCCCAGATGAGCCACGTGTCGATGTATTCATTTAATTTCTATTAATTTCAATTTCCTAAGAGAGAAACAACATATATTTTGATGCTAAAATCCATACAGTGTAAAAGTTTGGTTTTTTTTAACTACTGAAGTATAGTGAGTCTGCTAGGAAGGATGTAAGTTAGCTTTCTGCTTCTTAAGCCAAACAGTGTTTGTCTTTAGTGTAAAATGTAACCATAAAAGCTACTTGTAATATCAACAGATTATAGAAACTTATGAATAAAATGGACCTTACTCTAAGAGGATTTTTTTTTCTTCAAAGGTAGTATGGAGCTGTTGGTTCTTCTTGTTTGCATGTGGGTATTTCTTTCGATTGTAGTTTTTCATCTTCATATTTTCACTGTTTTGAAAACAAAATTAATTTATATAATTTTATTAATGAAGCACAGTGAAGTGCAACCTAACTATAACTGAATCCCTTTGGATTTATAGCTGAGTATATTAACTAGGTTTTATCACTAATTATTTTTTAAATCAACGTTATATTCCTAGATCTTTAGTCTCCTGTGAACCTGAAGCATTCCCATTTGAACCTTGGAAGACCCTCAAAGAATGAGCACTCTTGTGCTCTTCTAAACACAACAATTCCTTAACAAACGTGAGTAAGGACCACTGATATATAGAACACTCATGCCAAAGAACCATCACAGAATTAAGTAACTTTAGTTCTGTGACCATGAAAAGATTTCTTTTCTGGTTCTCAAAGATTTTTTTTTTCCCCCACAAGGAAGAAAAATAATACATTAAATATCTTTAATAACATTTTTTAGAGACTTTGAACTTTCAAATATAAGAGAGAGAGAGAAGGGAAAAAAAGGTTTTAGTGTGGATTTCTAAGCAGCATATACTCGTATACATGTTTTTAAGGCATCTTATTGTTGGCAGTGTTTCCATGAACAACATGAGCATCCTTTGAAAATGTTGTCTAACCCTTAAAGTAATCTTGTTCACATGTCCAAAGGACATGAAATGCTTGTACTGGTATACACGTTTCTAGAAATAATTATCTTTTTAGCTACTTAAAGAATATCCCCAAAAGATCACAGTGCCTTGTTGGATTTTTTTTTTCATGAAATAGCCATTCTTTAAAATGAGTGGGAGAGGATAAGTCTTCAAAGACGGCTTGTTCAGCAGGTCAAGGCTATCCCTCTTCAAGAACATATCAGGAATTAAGTAGTTGTATGTAGAAACAGAATCCTTTCCGCAGTGTTGGTTTGGATCACCTATTCTAGCATATTTAACCTGTATTCCCGCATACATCTATTCAGCCGATGGGATTTCTATGTACTTTCATTCTTACATTTTCATTCCTACTGTCCCAACTTAGTAGCCTAAGGCGTGGCTCGGTGGGTGTGGCATCCTCAGCCCCTGAGACACCCACTTCGTGCTTCTGGATGTTTGCTCACACAGCTCCCTTAGGGACAGAGCTTGTGGGAGGGGTTTCTATTCCTTACGTTGTTAGTCCTTTTTTGTGTGATGGTGCCTTCAGAATAATGAATATTTCTGTTCCTGGACAAGGATAAATCTTATGAGAAATATGTGTAGGTTCTATTTCTTTATTTTTGTCCTTTTTTGCTAAGCCTGTGAAATTCTTTGGCTCTGATACAACTTGACTTGAATAATATCTTATCCTGAGTCTTCCTCCAAGGCAGTACCTACTCCTGTCAGTACTGTAGGAATCTTTTGGGAACTACATGTGGGTAAGCACTTGTATGGAAGCCATTATACTGCTGTAACTAATGCATACAAACAATTCTTCTCTTTACATTCATAGTCTAAAAAGTGGGTATGTAGTGGGAAGGAAAATTGCTGAGAGATTCCAGCCTCGCTTTGTCAATTCAGACTGAGCCATACTGTTTTCTACAAGGGCTCAACACGTAGTCTCTCTGTTGTGCTTTCGGTGTATGTATGGTTCCTTCAATTGCTTTTCCTAGACTGTACTGTTCTATAAGTAACTGCCTATGTGTGAGTTTTAAGATGTGCTGGGAAAAAAAATAAAACAATACCAAAACAACTCATTGGTACGGGAATTGTTGCTTATTTCACGTTGATTAACTTTGACCTCTGTTGACATCCTGCCATCCTCAGAGAGTGAAGGGGATACAGTCTGTACCCATGGGTGGCCTCTCTAGTAGAGAAGGACCTGTGCACAGATGCTCACGGGTCCTTGCCTGTGGCTCCCACACTGGAAGGGAGGTTGTAGCTATCCGGGCTCTGGAATGACTGAGAATTAGACCCATTGAACCCAGTTTTATTTGATACATTTCAATAAGCACCTGCCACACTATGATTTTAACTCGCTATTTTAGATAAAGCAGTTTTCTACCTGGCTTGTTTAAGCTCACACTGAGTGAACCTTAGAAATCATCTCATCTTATTTTATCCCAAACATAAAATTGCTGTCTAACCTCCCCCATCCTCCAGGCCAAACATAACCAGTCTTCCTGAACATGTGTTGTGACCAAATGGGAATCTATTGCCCTTCCACGAAGCCTTTTCCAACTTCTGAAATTTTCAGGTATTAAGAGGTTTTTGCTTCTTAGACAGAAATCTGTGTTCCTCTTTACCCATTAATGTAATGTCAGTCTTCTGCAGTCATAAAGAATTGTCCGGTTGCTCTACAGAAGGGCAGCTCTTCAAGTATTTAAAGACAGTCCATGTTTTCCCAGATTTTCCCTGTCAACTTTTGCTCCTGTCACTTATAGACCCCCTCATCATCCTAATCTCCGTATGTGCCCATTTGATCAAGTGGAGGTATCTAGGTCTGAATGTTCCAGAGTAGTACCAATGATTTCCTTATTCTAGTCACTAATAAATGCACTTTTGGTGGACATTGTGCCGTCACTTCACACTGTACTTGAATTTAACAAAGCTGGTCTTTTCTGCACGTGCTATTTTGTCCACATCTCCCTGGAGGCTGGTTTTTTTGGGGTTTTTTTTTAGCTGAGCCATCCTGCCACCTGTTGGCAGCTCAGCGGAAGCTCAGCTCAGGCCAGGAATCGAACCTGCCCTGGAGGCTGATTTTCAAAAGCCTTGTTACCCAGGGTATTTTTTGTCCCATCCAGCTTTGGTCATCAGCAGACCTGAGACACGTACTATTGGCCTGGATTCTCATCCAAGTAATGGCAGGTATCTGCAGTGCACAACAAGGGCTTGCCGAATAATGTCCATAAAAGAACATTCAGGGTTCAGGCAGCTACACTTCTGCTTGACACGCTATTGTCCACCTTATATTTTGTCCACAGGCTTTTCTCCAATGAATCAACATTTATGCCAGACAAATGTTAAACATGCAATTACGTTTACTTAATTTAACACTGTCAGCTACCAAATCCTTTAGTAAAGCTTGCTGCTCTGATTTCCTGTGTTACCCTATCAGAAAAGCAAATGAGGTCTTACTGCCATGATGGGTACTGTTGCCTGTGTTTCTCCTCAGGGGCATTTCTCTTCCATATACTTACAAACCCATTTTGTGCTACATTTTCTGATGTAATCTGCTGATTGGGCCTAGTATTGGCTGATGAACAACCTCTGAAATCCATTCTTGCATAGTCTGTCACATCCTTGGTACACATTAGAGCTAGGAAGATACTCTTTTAAAAATGACTGAAATTTGTCGCTGTGAAGATGTAAAATAACTTAGGAGGATGTGACATTCTCAAGTCTAAGAACACAGTGAAAAGAGTTCTATTCTGAAAATGTATGTGCTCCATTTTTTTCCCTTCCAATTACAAGTCACTTTCCTTATTTGGGCCTAATTTCTTATTCTGTAAGATGAAAATCTTTGAGGCTCCCTTCTCACTTGGTCTCAGTAATTCTGATTGAGTCTGTATTTTTGCTGAACACTACCCTAGAACTGATTATTGCATTAATAATGTGCTTTTAAATTCACCTCTTATTAGCCAGATACTGGTGCTGGGCACTTAACCCTAGACAAGAAGTAATGATTGTTTTCATAACAACCCTGTGAGGTGAGTATATCATCCCCTTTTTGCTGGTGAAATAGCTGAGGTTTAGTGGGGTCGAATAACACCCAGTGTTGGTAGCTGGGTAAGTGGCATTGCTGAGCTACAGAGCCAGGCCTGACTAAATCCAGTGCCTCTGCTGGCTGCTACACTGCTCTAGGCTGCATGTGCTGGGGAGTCAGTCTGATGGATACAGAATTTCTGCGTTTGAAAGTAGATTATTAGTCACTGCCCTCTGCAGAAGGGCACAAGTAAGAAAACAGAGTCTCCCAACTACAGAGGGAAACCGCAGTCTTCATCCACACACCACAGAGATACCGGGAAGCCTTTTGTCTCAGATGCTGTCTTTCTCTGTAAGTGTTTAATCTATTGATGCCTTTGTGGGTCTAATATGAAACTCATAAAAGGAAGTGGTGTATTTGATGGACTTAATTTGCATTTTTATATCTTTAATATTGTATTCATTTTAGCTGCACTTAAAAATTTAAGAATAACCTGTTACCATAAGTTATACATCCTATAGAGAGGCTGGAAATGGAAAGAACTGTTTAACTCTAAAATGTTTTAACATAACGTACAGCCAACCTAGATTCTTTAGAAAGTCACACTTCCTTAAAACTGCTAATGTAAGAATAAAGGTCGCTGAAGGATTGGAGCTCCATTAGGGCCCTCAAGAAGTCGCATATTATAGCTAGAATGAAAGTATAGGTTTAGAATCTGGTGGTTACAGTCATGGTAATTAGGTGGTTGGACAACCAAGAATCCAGAGTTACTGGCTTATCACCAAATGTGCTGTTTGACTAATACTAAGGGCATAGCTCAATAAGTGAATGCAAGAAACCCAAATGTCACTTTAATTCCAGTGGTAGGTCAACAAGGGTTAAGAGGCAGTTAGTGAATGGTGGATAGTGAGCCACAAGTCACACTATTTTAGCTAACCAGTGTGGCAGAGAATGAATCCCTTCAGGAAAGCATGAACTCCCAGATATTTCCAGACCACCAGCAGTCATTAATAAAGACAGACTAAGGAACATAAGAAAAAATTGTATTAGGAAATACTGATGTTCACTTGACATGAAAGTTTTCCTTGGTGATGTTATCCTTTTAAAATTGGATAGTTTAGATAGCCACACCCTTACCTGGACAGACTTCCAGTACTGCTAATCCTCCATATGCCAGTGGCAATGAGCCCAAGCAAGACTAATAGGGCAGAGGGGTTAGACAGTTACTCCCTACAAGCTTCCCCTTCAAACCACTTACCCTTTCTTACCTCACTTTTCCTGGTAAGCTTATTCATTTGGGCATCTACCCTATAGTCCTCTACAAACAAATCAATTGTTCTAACCTCGGGCCAAACCTATCACTGACAGTTCTTTCTGGATTCCATCTGAGGTGCTCTGAGCTCTGAGAGGCCATACCTGTATACTCCTATATCATCTCTTATGATTACAGGTGTCTCATTGCCCGATGACCCACCTTCATCCTCACAGTTTCCCAATTACCGGTTGTCTGCTTCTCATGAATGGGTCAGGGTTAGCCACTCTATACCTGACCTTCACAAATGGCCTTCGTGTGAACATCCATGCCACAGCTGAGGCCAAATTCAAAGGGACTGTCATAAAGAATATGAAGCCTCTGTCATGCCACTGATCAAAGGAGTCTGCTTGGTGGTTCTGCACAGAAAGATCAAGCACGTACTTGTTCATGCCTGAAAAAATGAAAATCATTACTTGTGTACAAACACATGCTTATTTTCTGAACACGTGTAGAGATGTGGAGGTTAACTAATATGAAATACTGAATATAATAATTGATCCATTTAAGATCTGCTCTGCAGATACTATGAAGAAATCTTAAAGGAGTAAAAGCTTTAGAAATACAGGGAAATCTTTTTTGTGAAGAAAAGTGCTTTTAGCACTGAGTACATAAAGTCCCAGGAGCATAGAACAAAGCTTTTCATCAGAACTTTAGGAATGAAAGCTTTCATTCAAACGACAAAATACGGAGACATTGTAAAGTCATTTGCCTATTAGTATCAATAAGCAGAGCTGAGTACTTTGAAGGTGAGCTTAAAAGAAGCATATCCTAAAAATAAAGGACAATAAGTGCCTAGGGAGCTAGAAAGGCCCTCACCCTTCCCTGTCTCCTCCAGTGCTCTGATGGCATGGTTCATGAGTCTTTGCTGTCACTAGGTAGCAATCTATCAATCCTGGTGGGTGCCTCTCTAGAGAGCCTGAGCAAGGAAGGGGACAAATGCCATGACTGACCTTTATTCCTTTACTCAGTGGTCGGAGCAGTCAGGATTTCCTGATGCATTACTCACCAGGAAATCCCAACTGCCCAGCGGCAAGGGGTTAAAAAACTGTTCTGAAAGCTTTTTATGTTCTGAAAAGCTAAATTACACATAGATGCAAACCACAAACACACAGCACCTGGGTAAATAAAGTGTGACTGAATAAAGGCTGGGTTATTTGCAAAAGGGAATCTGGAAAACATTTGCTTTTGGGTGGTTAACATTACTTAACTTTATGCTTTTTCTTTCTTAAGAAAAAAAAGAGGAAATGTGCAAAAAAAATGAGAATTTTAACATGCCTGTTGAAAATAAGATTTCAGTTCATTTACTTTCCAACTATTAAGGGGCTATGAAGATTGAGAGGTGCACAGAGCTACTACACAAAGCAGCAGCAACACTTTTAGTACAAAAATTGTTAAAGAATATTTCCCAGAAATAGAATTGTGCAATGGTATGTACTGAAGAGGTCATTAAACATTGATTGTCCTCCAAATATGGGGTCAAACATCAATGGTAAATGGTATCAGCTTAAGGGTAAAAATGCTAAAATTCAAGACCATTGGACTTCATAATAAGCTAAAATTGACCTGATAGACCTAATAGAATTTGAGCACCCAGGAGGTCGTGTTACAGAGGATTTATGCTGAGCACATACTTCATCTGGGTACCAATGTGGCTAAATGATTTCTCCTTGAAGGCAAAAAAAAAAAAAATCTCTTTATGGCAGGGGTTCAGTAATTTTCAGTAGGAAACTTAGATTGAGCCATAGGAAGTTGCTACTTCTGTAGGTCAAATACTTGCAAAATCAGCAATTCCATATAATTCAACCTGATACTTCTATATTTTTTTCTAAGCCAGGTCAAGTTGGGGATGACAAATTTATGGAGAGAAAAGGGGTAGGGAAACAAATAGTAAAGATCTTGTACGGTACACAAAGTAAAATGCCTAAGCAGAACGAGTGCGTTTCTCATTGGGAGGGTTGGGGTATGACACTACATTGTGAATCTACCTATGATAAGGTTTTCAAAATTGACTTTTTCATCTGTGATGTTGGTAGGAGAGAAGGTTAGTGGGGTCATGGGAATAGTGTAGACTTCTCCTTACCTGAGAGGCTACAACATGCAAACAACTCTAACATTAACATACCCTAAGCTGCAACACAAAGGTAGATTTAAGAACTGAGTTCTTGGTACCTTTACTATCAATCACTGTTAAGAGATAAATGTGAGCAAAGTGAGGAAAAACAGTAACAGTATATCTATCTTTTCATATATTCAAATTATTAACAAGTGGAACAAAAGAAAATCATGTAAAATTGTTTGACAATTGTTTATTGTCTCTACAACATAGCACCATAATTCTATTAAGGGCACAAGATTTCCCAATGAATCATGCACATAAAAAAAAATAACCTAAGTAATTTTGGTTACATAAAGCTTTACATCTATATTGAAAAACCCTGCACAAACATCCTAAACTGTATTAAAATGTATGCGTTACAAGTTAATATAATTATGAGGGTAAACTGTTAGAATAGAACATGCAATCCCTAAAATTATTATTAAAAGCCTAGAAACTCTATACATTAATCACTAAGTTCTAGGTTTAATGGTGCTAAATTGCTGGGTAATGTAGTCCTTGTGCAGGGACTCAAAATACAATAAAGCACAAATGATAAAAAAGGAGATAGAACATAGGCACTACAAGTTCTAGTAGACACAGTGTCCCTATTCAGTTCTGAGTTTTTCAGAGAGCTTCCCAGGGATCAAAATTCTTGTATTTCACTTAGTGAATATTTTATAAGCAAAAAATAAAATATAATTTTGAAGTGTACAAAGTTCAACATGTAACAATGTAAAGCAGCTGATGGCTGATACAGATAAAAGAGTACAAAACACATATATAAAGCCATTATGATAAAAGCCAATATAAGACATGACTACATATTCCATCCTATAATCTCATAAATCAAAGCTTTTAACTGTCTGGACTCATAGGTGACTGTATTCTTTCCAATATGCATTCTTTCTTCTTCCAGGGGTTGTTCAATAATGGCAGGTACGTTCCTGCCATGAAGTTCACAGTGTTCTAGAAATTGGATACATTCTTCAATAACACTATCACGAAGCATGATCGAGTGCTTTGACATGTTTTCTAACAAGGACAGGAAGCATCTTTTGGCATAATACCAGGTATCAGTTCCCAGTTTTTTATTATAGGGTTCCAAGCTTTTGATAACTCGAGAAATCCCAAACTCATAATTTCCTTTGGCACAGTAAAGTGTCCCAATCACCAAATTCACAATGCACAGATGGTAGATTTTCTTATCCGGGTCGTCAAAGGAGAGCTGCTCTTCCTCCTTCTCAATTTTCCTCATCAGCTCCTCGGCTTCTTCATTTTGACTCGTCATAATATATGAAACACAGAGGTTAGCCAGTACAATAGCACTGACATTCAGGATGTTGTCATAATGCTTCTTGACTATGGGCTCATAAAAACCGATGGCCTCTTTGTATTTGTTTTCCTGCATGAACAGAACATGAGCCACATTCAGCTTCCACACATCATGGTCATTGCAGAATTCCACAGATTTTCGGAAGATCTTTTCTACCATTGGGTAGTTTTCAAGGTTCCAGTAGATTTTCGCCTGGGCCATCAGCACAGGAATATACTTCTCCAGGATGTCATCATATTCATTCACTGCCTTTTTGACTGCTTCATCATCTCTACTGTGTCTTGCTTCCTGTATTTGTATAGTAAGTTTCCGGAGCTGCTCAGTTAGCATCCCTGCTAGCCCATCAAGCTTAATGAATGCCTCTTCAGGAGATGTTGGACAAGTGATCATGGCATCCAAGAAGTCGTAGAGATAGGGTGTGAGGAACTTATAAGTCAAATGAGCATTCTCTGCCAGGACATCTGCTGCCAGGTCAAAATACTCATACTTACAGTAGAGCAGCAACAGGTTGCCAAACGTCTCTGGGGGGAAGGGGTTCTGTTGGAGCAAAAACTGGAGCTTTTCAAACCCTTCTGTAGGCCTGGCATCCATGTTCATTAGCGCCTGGTTGTGCAGGGTCACAGGGTCTAACTCCTCCTCTGCCCTAGGTGGCATGTCAGTGAGGGTTTCCTGGGCCACCTCATAGTTTTTCAGTTGGTATTCTATGGCCGCCTTGAGGTTGAAGGCTTCCACCAGAGCAGTCTGGTGAAGGACTAAAGTGTTGCCAACACTGCGAACATCAATGCCCTCGGTGGTCATGCCCACACCTAGCTCTGGGTGCTGGCGGATGCCATGCTCAATAATGTCGGCGATATGCTTCAGCGCCGGGGCATAGCGCCGGTTGCTGTAATAAGCTAAAGCCAGGTTGTAGGAAAGGTCAGGCCGGTAGCCCGAGGTCTGTAGGGCTGCAAAGAACTTGGAACACGCGGCTTCATACTGCCCCTCCTTGTAGAGCAAACATCCCAGGTTGACCTGGCCATCGGGCTCATTCTCGCCCCCACTGCCTTCTCCCCCTTCCCCACTCAGGAGCTGCTCCACCAGGCTCCTGGCCCCAGGCAGATCGCCCTCGCTGTACTTGATAGCAGCTTGTAGGTGGAGGACCTGGCTGTGGTAGGTGGGGTTGTCCAAGAGGAGAAAGGCGACCCGGGTGGCCTCTGGATAAAGGCAGGCCTTGTATAGGGCCTGGGCCTGGTACAGGCGGTACTGCTCCAGTTCCGGGTGCAGCTGGCTCAGCTGCTCGTAGCACTCGGCCGCCAGCGCGAACTCCTGCAGGCGGTAGTAGCAGTAGCCCAGCAGCGACAGGCCGGCGCGGCTCCTGGGGCTCCGCTGGAGCTCTCCGCCCAGCAGCTGCACCGCCTCGGCGTGGCGGTTATCCCGGATGAGCCGGTACACGGCCGCGGTGAACTCCCCGTCGGGGATCTGCGTACTGCCCAGCCCCGCCATAACCGCCACGGCGGTTGAGCGTCCTAGTTACCAAGGCAATAAGCCAGCCGGAAACGGAAGACCGTAAAGAATGTTTGGGGTATTTTTTTTCTTTTCTTTTTTCTTTTTTTGCGTGCTCCCAAATTTACTTTGCAGCGGAACAATCAAACTAGGATTGGAAAGAAGTCGCTAACGCAAGGGTGTCCATATCTGTTCAGGTCCCCGAGGAGTCCAAGAGAGGGAGTCGCGTTAGTACGTGAAGCAAGAGGAAACGCCTCTAGGGAGTTCAGAGAAGGAAACTCTACTTCCCGGCACGCACTGCTTCAGTCGCGCCGCCGCTCGCTCCGTGTCGCGCTGCATGCTGGGAGGCGTAGTCTGCGGGCCGACCCTCCGCGGTCGGGAAGCGAAGCTTGGCTGGGCGTTTGTTCCTGTCCTAGTTCACCATTTCTGGCTTCCTGTTGTGTCTCTTCGGTCTCAGGTGCGGAAGGAGGAAGGTTTACGTTCTGCATTTTTGAACCTTCTACACTGTGTGCAACATACAGATGGTGTGGTTCCACGTTATTTTAGTGAAAGAAACGGGAATGGAAAAGGCGGAATGTCAATTTGGTTTTCTCCGGGAATTGGAGTAGGTTCTGTTTTCCGGCCAACCTGAGGGCACACTTTCTAAGAATAGAATAGTGCAGCGACCGGGAGTCCTTATTTCGTCGTTCCATAGATTAACAAAAGGAAAGAGTGTTTTGGATGTTTTCTGGCACTGGGAGAAGATTGGCTTTAGATCCAAAGTGTCACCTACCCCTGCTTGTCCGTAACAAGGGATCTTACTGAGCACATATTAGAGTTTAGACTTGGCCCTACAGTCTGCCTTGAGCCTCCAAATTTCACTACCAAGTGGAAACATTAAAGAAATATATGACCTTGTCTTTTCCAAGGATGAAAACATTAAAAAAAATCGACAACCAAAAGTGTTCCATTTTCGATGCACTGTTACCCTTTTAACACTCTAGACCTACTTAACCAGTCAGTCTGCTGTGAGAGAGACCCAGCCTCTATTGTTAGCTTTAATAATGTTTGTGGATATCACTGAGATGATGAAAATTGGAATTTCTGTCAGTTAAACTTTTAAAAAATTGCCTACACTTTAATATCTTTTCCTCAGATTCTTAGTTTGAAAATCTCTGGAGATTTGCTGGACTATACAGAAACAATTCTGGATTTTCTTTAGTTCCTTTGCCATGTATTTGCAATAGATGTTCTAGATTCCATGTTACTACTTCAGCGCTATTTTTGTATAAATTCTTTTTTAATTTAATAGTGCCCATCATGGGGCAGTGAAAAACTAGGGACTTAATGATCTTAAAAAATTTTATTGAATCACTAATAAAAAACATACCCATAGTGCAGACTTACCTGGAGACTGTAGAATTTGTGGGAGGTGAATACGATTTTTTAGTCAAGCATTAGAAAGGTAGGAAGATCGCCAAAAACAAAACTGGCTTATCCCAGTGAGGTAGGGGTAAATGTGCAGTTTTCAAGAATATAAAACTAGCTGTAATTTATGAATATTTATCATATGCAGTGCCTTTGCTGATGGCCTGGGGTGTCTTTCATAATCTATCATGATTTTCATTAGTTTTGCAACCACCCAAGATAAACATAGACCAAGTAAACACATACTTTGCTATATAATTAAAGACTTTTAATGCAAATCCCTTATCTGCATTTTTGATAGTATTGCTGCCAATAAATCTTTCCTATATATAAATTTTGGAGCCAACATCAGCCATATTACATGGCACTCTATTAGACTATTCACACATATTATCTCTAGTCTTAATAGTCATCCTATATTCTGCATATTACAGATGGAGAAAAGAAGCAGCTGAGCCATCATCTCCAAAAGGTAAGTTCATTAGGAAATAGTGATGAATCACACTTTCTGGCTAGCACTACTCAATAATCAGGAAATAGGTGTCTTCTCTTTTATGCCTGCCTAATTAAGACTTACCTCTTGGAAAAAATAATTATCCAAAAGGGTCAATATTTTAAAATCCTTATGTATTGAGCTGTTACCTTGTGTAAGTTGCTGTTAAATCAAGGTAAGAAGAACGTGAAAATGGGAAATTGCCTTTTATGTCTTTACTCTGTCTCACTGTTTCTGAACGTTGTATTTGCATCATGAAAACATTCACCTTCAAATGGCATCTTGGAAATGTATGAGAAATACTTGGTTGTCAGGAAAGCCGTGACGTATTTTTTCTGCTTTTTGTTGCAAAAATGTGTCATGACTTTTCCGACAACCCAATAGAAGGACTATCTGCTCTCCCCCCAATTTCTCTGATCCCTATAGGCATCAGTTGAGGTTCCCCTCTTTGTGTTGGCACCTGTCTGTGAATGTGGCAGCTGAAGGGGGCAGGAGCGAGGCCGTTCTGTGTCTTCCTCCATATTTCATATGCTGCTGCTCTTGAGGCCTGGCTTGAAAAAAGCAGGACATTCGGCTTAGACAGATGGAGGGCAGGGTCATTTTCAAAATGAAATGAGTGCACAAATCACACTGTGAAATTGGCATGACCATCATTGCTGCTGTGATAGACCAACTTTTATTTAGTCTCTGATAGGCAATCGGGGAATAGATTTGTTTTTTTGGGTTTTTTTTTGTGGGGGTGGGGTGAGAAGATGGTGCAAGAAGGCCCTTTAATTAATGATAGAAATTCTGGAAAGCAATAAACTGGATGGAATATTATAAAGTGCCATAAAGAATCATTGTTTCTAACAGAATTTTGCAAAGCTGGAGCATATATCAAAAAGTAAGTGTATTGTACCATTCCTAGCAATAAGAAAGCATTTGGTGGTTGAAATAAAATGATTTAGTCCCTTATTGAAGGGAATTAGGCTTTAGGAAAATGGCATTGGACTCAGGCTGGATTTTGCTGTGGAAGAGGAGGCATTTTTACCACATAGAACTCCATTTAGACAAAATGTACAGAAGCTAAAAGCATGATGTTCTTAACATGCTTATGTTATTGCCTGCAGAATGTGAGATGATCAAATCCCATGTATATTCTACTTGGCATTCTCTTTTAAAACTAATTGGAAATTATTGTTTCTTTTTTCTCTTGTAAAAATAACCACTTCTTTTTGGTAAACATTGTTTATTTATGAGTATTTCAACCACAGCTGTGGTTAAACATCTTCCTTGCTAAAGGGAAACCTTCTGCAAGATCATTTTCCAAGTTGTTATTTTTGTCTCTTGTTTATTCCAGGCCATTTTCTGCAGATGGCACAGTTGAGAGACTGTTTCCTTGCTTCCTCTTGAGCCCAGCTTGATTTTTTTTTTGTCCCTGTGTGTCCACTGATGAGATGGTAGAACTAACCCTCCTTCCAATACCTGTCACCTTCCCCTCCCCACCTGCCACCCCCATAAACAGGGGAGAAAAGAATGAATTAGTGCCAGATTTGTAATATAGTTCAATGATAGGAGTATCTGTTCAATCTTTTAAGACTTTAGGAAAAGACTGTATCAACACTTGGGAATATTTATGCTCAGATGGTGAGAAATTTAAAACTTCATTGAGAGCTCAATTTTTTTCCTCTGGTACTTCCAGCTCTATTAATATTTTATATAGTAATATATTTCCTTCTTGATATATCTTGCTTTGATCAAGTATTTTCTATTTCAAGGTTTATGGTGTTATTATCCAAACTAATTTATTAGGCAGAACACAATAACGTTATGGTTTATAAAAAGGAGTTAGCAGAGAAGACACAATTGTGGGTACTGCCATTGAAAAATTTATTCCCCACAGTTGGAATGTGGTATCAAATGCACTGATGGGGCTGTTACCCAAATCTTTTCATCTGCCTATTTTTCACTGCATTCACTTCCAAGAGGTAAGAAATGATTCGTAGTGTCACGTCTTTCTTCCAAGAGTGGTATCTTTCATAATGAGATTATCCTGTCTGTGCTTGTTTTCATTTTTGTAATACAGCCATAAAAATAATAAATTGGATGGGAAAGATCTTTGAAATCCATGGTCAGAAAATGATATTCCTGAAAGAACGATGTCATCAGTCTCTGAACAAACTTTCTGGCTTACAAAGCCTCCAAACTGTTTTTCCATCAGAGAGTGATCCATGAAGGCTTTGGTAACAAGCCATCCAATTGTCCAAAAAGTCCTGTACTGGTTTTTAAGGCTTTCTCCTAACTCTTGGAGAGTTATGGACACGCTCCCAAGGCCGTGCTGGTAGACCAAGGGACTAACTCAGAAATCAAGCCTGTCCTTTAACCCTCCTGCCCCCACACTCCCCACATCCAGTGAACCAAGTTCTGGCAGTTCCTCCTCTGAAATATTTCAACTCCATGTATTACTCTCCAGTTTCTCCTACTGCTTCTCTGGCGTCTACCACCATCTCTCTCCTGGATCTGCATCAATTTTCCTAAATAGCTTCCCCTAATCTCTTCCTGGGACACTTCAGAAGATTTCAAGTCACTTTATCTCCCTCCTTTGTTTTACTCTGAGGACCTCATTAAGCCTTTAAATGTACTCCACCATTTCTCCCAGGAGATCATGAGACCCTTGTGCAAAATAGAACTCCCACTGCTTCTCTTTCTAAGTCAGTTTTCTGCTCAGGTGTGTAGGATGTTATTCACCCCAGTGACTCTTGCTGGAAAACAGTTTGACTTTAAGTTAAACACTAAGTTAAAAAAGCACAGGTGTGTTTGTAGAAAATCGATCCTGATGAGGTTGGGAGTAAGTTGGAAGGATTTTTTTGAATGTGTTTTGTTTGTTTGTGGGGTGCTGGCACAGGCCAAGGTTAGTTAATACCTACACCGCGACCCCTGGCTGGCGTAGTCCAACACACAGCTGACCCATCTGCTTTTCTTTGGCCAAATCATCTAGAGACTAAATTGAGTTCTGAGAACATAAACCAGTAAACCAAAGCAATAAATTCAGCTTTAATAAAAATGAAACAGGTTCCCACATTTCACTTTAAGCCGTAACTTTATTAAGTACATTTACCTTGTATTTTATTAAGCACATTTGTAATAACCTTTTTTTTTTTAATTGAAAAGTTTTTCCTATTGTTTCAGTTTGCTTCCGTGGATGGCTTAGATCTTTCGTGAAACAAAATTTGGACATTTTTAAGAGCATGATTGTTGTTCCCGGATAAAGCTAGGTAGTAGGAGAGTGGGAAAGGGGCCCCAACTTGATTATGTGGTGACTAAGTGGGCCTTGTGGGAATTGCCGTCTCTGTGAGGTGGGGGTCCC